GCAGCTCCTGCTTGCGCAGCTTGCATGGCTATTTGCTCATTGAGGTTACTAGATTCTGCTCTCCCTGTTGGTTGGTACGTACGTGGTTGTCGTTCGCTAGAGCCATTATCAGAAGGAACTTGAGAGCCGCTGCCACTACTACTAACAAAACCTCCTCGATTTCCACTTCCGTCGGACATTCCACCACTTCTAGTACCAGTAGTCGTCCCTTGCTGTCGTTGATTTGTGTTACTCATTATATTGGAAGCATCAATCGCTGTCCCTTGTCGGTTGTTTTGTTGAACAGTTCCTTCTTTCAAGCTGATCTGCAAGCTGACACCACCATAAATTTTCAAACCATTATTTTTCTTCGAACAGAATACAGTCGGAACCCACGAACATTCTTCAGTCGGATTGTTCAACTTAAACTGTGTCTCTTTGTCAAGATTGACTCCCATGTAAACAATTGTTTCCAATACTTTTAAATATTGTTCTCGTTTATATGTTTCTAATGAATGCACTATAAAGCTGATGAGTTCTGATTTCTGATTGTACAAAAACCAATTTAATACCAAACTCTTTATTATGCCTGTACGATAAGAGCAGCGGCATGCTTCACAAATAGCCTCCGTTACTTTGTTCAAGTTATTTTCGTCTGCTTCGTTCAATCGTGATCGGATTTTTCTCTTTAACTGGTTCATCTGTTCATATGGAACTTGAGAGTACGAGATATTTTGATCACTCAATAAACTACTGACGATTCTATTTATTTCACTATCAGTTTCACATGGATATCTTATTTGGTTTCGGATTCTTTGTAAATAATCATTTATAGGACCTATTGCAATTGCAATATTATTAATATATTTTTGAATATTATCAAACGTTGATCGAATAAATACGAGTAAAACACCACGTTTCAATAATTCTTTGAGTCGTAATAATTCTGGAAAATACGAACCCATTTGATCATAATATCGAGTAAATGCTTGAGCAAAGTCACCTTCTGATGAATGACCATCCTCTACTTTTGACAAATCATCAATCAAATTTCCTTGTTCGTCATACTGCATCAATTGTTTCTTTACACACATCGGCACATCACTCAGATAGTATGTTATAATGTTGTTATTTTCATCGTATTGATGTTCATATGTTATTTGTCCTGCTTCAATCCAAAATCGATGTACACTATTCATAATTATGCAATCTTTTCTTTGATCAATCGGTTTTAATTCTTCTCGTAACCATTCTGGTAGACGCTTCATGAAACCATCGGAAGCATCACGCATTTGAAATGGAGGTTCCGAGTAAATTTCGACACCAGTTAAAATCATTTTTAACAAATAGTCAGCATGCAACAGTGTCGACAAAAAATTTGTTTTTGACAGACTTCTCGGTGCATAACGTATCTCTTGAAATAGATGCAATTGATACTCAGCAGCGGGCTGGTCCAATGTAAACAAAGAACTTGTAATACCTTTTGTTAAAACTTCTTGAACGTCACTTGCATCACATAACCCTTGATCTTTGGATTGGGCTACTTGAAACAAAAATTTGACTTCTCCCGTATTAATGTTGAATGATATTCCATTGACCTTCATGAACTTTGTTTGACGATCAAGATTTAGAGCGTAAGTTTTTGAAGGTAACCATCCATCCGCAGTTCGCCGTAAATGCGACCATTTCAGAAGATTTTGAACATCGAGCATATGCCAGCTTCGTCTACTGAGTAGCGATTGCATGCAATTAAATCTCGTAGCGTCAAATGTTTCATTTTTATCCATCCTCGTCATACGCCTTCGAATACATAATATTGATATAGATATGGTGTATATAATGTGCCCCTGTCGCTATTCGCTGAATTTATCAAAAACTTTGAGAGTAACTCTTGTCCAACAACTTCAATGTATAACAAATCGTAACTACGCGATAATGAAAGTTGCGAAAGAGGTGACATTCTAGTAAGTAGAATTGTATCTTTCAACAGTTCGGTTAAGACTATTTTATGCTGTTTTGTTATCAATAGTTGAGTCCGATTTCGATAGTGAGTCGACTGTTTCTTTGATTTGATATGGGGCTAGCAGTAAAGGATGTCCAACTAAACGCGCGAGGGCCAGGCATTTCTGAACGTCTAGAGACTTAGTGTGACTATTTCCTTTTTTTTCAATGCAACTTTTCATGAAACTTTGAAGTTTAGCAAGTTATATATGAACATTTTTAGATTTTCGAGTACCATTGGCATTTAAATTTTTTTCTTTTTGATAGTTTTACTATTTTCTACGCATCAAAATCCAATATATTTAAAAAAAATAAAAACTTTCCATTAGATTATATTTTATGAAATGTGTGTTTATTCTTGGACGCCAACCAATCCTGTACTGACCTAGGCTGATCTCAGATTCAAGATTGAACTAGTCTAATATGGGATTGAGGAAACGAGTTTACAGTAAAACTCGAACAAGTCTCTTGATTTTGTTTTGTTTTTGGTGAACTACAAAAAGACAATGATATTTCAACGAAGTCAGTAATTACTTGATGCACTAAATGCGAGTCAGATTAGTGATGAACCGTTTGTCATAGAAGCTGTTCTTCTGCATAACATCGCCTAGCACTGCTCAACTCATCAATCACAGTCCGAACCAGATATTCATCTAGAGACTAATTCGAGTATTGTGGTAAACTGTTTCCTTGATCTGACATTGGATTAGTCCGATCTCGGATCCGGGAGTAGGTGTGGGTGGGTAGGTGTGAGTGTGGGTGTGGGTGTGGGTTAGAGACCTGCAATAGACTCCGAAAACCGACTCCGACTCCGTCGGAGCCGGGGTCGCAGTTAAAAACAAAAATTTGGTCGGAGTCGGAGTCGGATCGGAGTCAATCTTTTTTTTCGGAGTCGGAGTCGGTGTCAATGTAAAGGACACCGCCGGATTTCATCGGAAATCTGCCACCTCTTAGTTT